TATCATTCGAGGGGAGGGGGTCGGGGTCTTCTAGGGAGAGGGGTGAGGGCAATCTCTCTCTGCTTCTCCGTGGGGAGATGGGCTGGGGAAAGCTCCCGCCCCGGGGGAGAGGGGCAATGGGAGCTCCTCACTGGGGGGTTCTGAGGGGAGATGGTCCGAGGAGAAACCCCCATTCGGGGGGGCTTCTAGGGAGAGGGGTCGGGGCAACCTCTCCCTGCTCCTCCGTGGGGAGATGGGCTGGGGAAAGCTTCCCCCCCCCCCCCAGCCCTGGGGGAGAGGGGCAATGGGAGCCCCTCACTGGGGGGTTCCGAGGGGAGATGGTCCGAGAAGAAACCCCTATTGGGGGTGCTTCTAGGGAGAGGGGTCGGGACAACCTCTCCCTGTTTCTCCTGGGGTCCCCAGGGGAGAGGGGCTGGGCAAAGCCTCCCCCCCCCCCGCCCCAACCCCGGGGGAGAGGGGCAGTGAGAGCCCCACATTGAGGGGTTCCGGGGGGAGATGGTTCTGAGGGTTGCGGGGGGAGATGGTCCGAGGAGAAACCCCCATTCGGGGGGGCTTCTAGGGAGAGGGGTCGGGGCAACCTCTCCCTGCTCCTCCGTGGGGAGATGGGCTGGGGAAAGCTTCCACCCCCCCCCCAGCCCTGGGGGAGAGGGGCAATGGGAGCCCCTCACTGGGGGGTTCCGAGGGGAGATGGTCCGAGAAGAAACCCCTATTGGGGGTGCTTCTAGGGAGAGGGGTCGGGACAACCTCTCCCTGTTTCTCCTGGGGTCCCCAGGGGAGAGGGGCTGGGCAAAGCCTCCCCCCCCCCCGCCCCAACCCCGGGGGAGAGGGGCAGTGAGAGCCCCACATTGAGGGGTTCCGGGGGGAGATGGTTCTGAGGGTTGCGGGGGGAGATGGTCCGAGGAGAAACCCCCATTCGGGGGGGGCTTCTAGGGAGAGGGGTCGGGACAACCTCTCCCTGCTCCTCCGTGGGGAGATGGGCTGGGGAAAGCTTCCACCCCCCCCCAGCCCTGGGGGAGAGAGGCAATGGGAGCCCCTCACTGGGGGGTTCCGAGGGGAGATGGTCCGAGAAGAAACCCCTATTGGGGGTGCTTCTAGGGAGAGGGGTCGGGACAACCTCTCCCTGCTCCTCCGTGGGGAGATGGGCTGGGGAAAGCTTCCACCCCCCCCCAGCCCTGGGGGAGAGAGGCAATGGGAGCCCCTCACTGGGGGGTTCCGAGGGGAGATGGTCCGAGAAGAAACCCCTATTGGGGGTGCTTCTAGGGAGAGGGGTCGGGACAACCTCTCCCTGCTCCTCCGTGGGGAGATGGGCTGGGGAAAGCTTCCACCCCCCCCCAGCCCTGGGGGAGAGAGGCAATGGGAGCCCCTCACTGGGGGGTTCCGAGGGGAGATGGTCCGAGAAGAAACCCCTATTGGGGGTGCTTCTAGGGAGAGGGGTCGGGACAACCTCTCCCTGCTCCTCCGTGGGGAGATGGGCTCGGGAAAGCCTTCCCCCCCCCGCCCCAGCCCCGGGGGAGAGGGGCAATGGGAGCCCCTCACTGGGGGTTCTGGGGGGGGATGATCCGAGGAGAAACCCCCATTCAGGGGGGGCTTCTAGGGAAAAAGGTCGGGGCAACCTCTCTCTGCTTCTCCGCGGGTCCCCAGGGGAGAGGGGCTGGGGAAAGCTTCACCCCTCAACTCCGTGGGAGAAGGGTAATGAGAGCCCCTGCTGGGGGTGCCGAGGAGGGGGGGGGGAATGGGCCGAGGAGACACCCCCGAAGAAGAGGGACAGGGGGGTGCCCTGTCTGGGAA